GAACAAAAGAGAAAAAGATAAGAGTGGTGGGAAGATAGAAGTAATCAAAATGTGACTTGACAGAGATGACGTCAAACAAGGATATGTCGAGAGCTATCTAAAAAGTTGTATATGAAGTTAGATAACATAGTAATGGCCAACTTAGAAATCCAGTAGATAGGTTAGATTCGATAGACATGAAAGGCACCGCCATCTCATTCCAGACAAGTAAGTTGGGCTTAAGTCACTGTGCTCCACAAAATAAAAAATATATTTAATTTTTTACCACTCCAACTCTTTGACTAGTCTCAGTTAAGTTGACCACCTTTAGCAAACTGCCCAACTCATAGTTCTGCCTCACCACATAACAGTGGATCAGTCTAGAAAAAATCAAACAAAAAGGATACAAAATGGAGAAAATGTTCCCCCTCAAAATCTAATCCTGCATATGTCCTATGGGAAAAAAATATATAATGCATTTGCAGTCACCATATACAATGTTTATGTTTAACAACATGGAGGCCTGGTGTACACCTAAAACTTAGGTTGGCCTGGCTATGTTGCTCAGAGGTGTGGAAAATTCACACACAGGGAACGTAGTTAAACCCAACCTAAGCCCCAGTGTAGACATTGCAAGGTCAATGGAAGAATTCTTCCATGAGCCTAACTACTCCCCTCAAGGGGGTGGATTTACTACAGCAATGGAAAAACTCCTTCCATCATTGTAGTAAGTGTCTGCACCACATTGCTATAGTGGCATAGCTGCAGCTGTGTCACTATAGGTCTAGTAGTGTAGATATATCCTAAGAAATACTGAGGAAAAGAGTTCCTTTAATTACACCTGTAAGGTCAATTTTTAAATGTGTTGATCCTAAGCTTAGATCAATTAATCTCCCAAGCAGCAGTAATCAAGAGCTAGCAACTCAGCTTTAGAGATTTTGAGCAGATAAGTTCTTGGCAGTGGTTCCCAATGCTAGGGAGATGACTCAACTAGCAGCTGTGGCACTTAATTTGACTTGTTAAATACCATTCCACAACTAACACTAAGAAGAAGATGATCGCCTCAATGGTTTAGCTCTGGCATGCCTGTTGACTCTGCCATCTTGTGCTGATGGGGGGAAAGGTGTCACAAAGAGGACTGGATCGTTCTTTAACAATTCTCCTCTGGTTAGCTTTCAAGATTATAGCACTGGAAAACATGCACGTTATTTGCATTACAACAGCTACTGCAAATACAGGGATCACTCATAGTCTTAAAGTTAAGCATGTGTGTAAGTGTTTGCAACTTTAGCATCTAAATTAATGGTGTGATTTTCTGAGGTGCTGAGCACTCCACTTCAATGAACGTTGGGGGCGCTCTGCATCTTTGAGAATCAGACCACTTATTTAGGTGCCTAACTTTAAGTATCTGCATTTGAAAATGTACTTTAAGGTTAGCAACTGCATAGTACGAGGTGCAGAAATCATGGCTGTTGGTTGGATGTAAAAATCAATTGCAGTGAACAGTCCAGCATTGGGCCTATAAGAGCTGAGCTAACTACAGTATTTTAAAACCATGTTCTATCTGAGGTCTTTATGTTAAAGATGCTCAACTAGAACCTGTAACAATCTTGATAAATAGAGGGGATACCCAGGGCCAAATTCATGCTCATTGGAAAAACTGAACTGGGGTGGCATGTTTTCCTTCACTGGTGCTATAATTGCTGCCAAGAAGACAGACAAAGAAAGATGGAACCAGAAATCAGATGGAACCTGGTCTGTCTAATATGGGTTTATGAATAAGCAGTACACCTGTTCCTTACGTTAGGAGCATCAGTTTCTGGCTATTCTTTTATGGACATTTTTTTCATTAGACTTCAGAAACTCCTTTAGGGCCTGATCCAAAGCCCATTGAAGTCACTGCAAGGATTCCCATCAACTTTGGATCAGTCCCTTCGTGTTCAAACATCGTGATAGTGTGCTCATTTACATTTAATTTCTGGAGTAATGTAAAATCAGTAGCCAGGGATGGCATATTTAATACTTGGACTTGCGTAATCTGTTAGCTATATTGTGAATGTAGCCAATGAGAAAAGTTGTTCCTCTTAAATGATCAGTTTAAAAGCATGCAGACATCCTCTTTGAAACAGACAACCGAATCAATCACTCACACCATGCCAATAAGCTAAGTAGAATAACCAGTTAGAAGAGGTCTATCTGGTGGACTGCAGACAGCAGCCACCTGAAAGCAAACATCGCTAGAAGTGGTGAAGGAACAGCAGCTGAAACATGGAATAAAGAATCCTAGATATTTTTACCTGATGAATTATCCTTAAAAAATCTTATAGATATAGCCCAAATACCACAATGATAGGGATATTAAAATGTGTGGATTGATTGATTGATTGGACCCTCTACTTTGTTTGGGCCAGAGTCTACCAAACTTATGAAGAGTAGTATATTACTCTGCAAGTTCACACTCAAAGTAAAGTGCTCCTCTGAGTAAGGGCAGCAGAAAATGACCCTTTGGAAGTCAGGGCCGGCTCCAGGCACCAGCCGAGCAAGCTGGTGCTTGGGGCGGCAGATTGAACGAGGCAGCATTCCGTCCAATCCTAGGGCAGCACGGCCGCTTTTTTTTTTTTTTTTTTTGTTCCGCTCCGGCCGCCCTGTAGGGAGCGGCGGCGCGGAGGATGGGAGCGCCCTGCAGCAAGCCCAGTAGGGCAGTCCTCGTCCTTCCCTCCCCGCCGACCGGAGCGGAGCCCTCCCGGCAGGCGGCGCAGTGCGGCGGGAGGGGCCGCGTGGCCGCCCCCCACTGTAGCCCTGGCTGCCCCCCTTCTCTCTTTCTCCCGCCCGCTCCCTCCCCCACCCCACCCCCCGCTAGCCGGTTCCCCTGCAACCGCGCCGCAGGTTTGGGGGGTTTTTTTTGCTTTGCCATTCTGGCCGCCCCGTTTTTTTTGTTTTGTTTTGTTTTTTTGCTTGGGGCGGCCAAAAAGCCGGAGCCGGCCCTGTTGGAAGTAGATGGGGAAATGTAAACTTGTGCCTGATTGAAGAGAGAGAATTATGAAGGGGAAAAACATCATCATCTTTTGGAAATGGATTGTTGGAAAAAGCTCAGGAGTGTGCAGTTCATGCAATAGAGAGATTTTCTTATCTCTTTTTAATTGCTTCAATTTGCTTACTGCACCTGGTAGCAAGACTAGAATGAGTATATAGCTCATGTCTAAAAGGGATGTTGCATCTCAAGAAATGAACGTCAAAAACACAGCTCAGATGATGACAGTTTCAAGGTTGATGCAGTGAAACTAAAACAATAACATACACACATTTGGGAAAAGGAACTTTTTCAGAATGCGTAGTCTGCTAACGGATCAAGCTTCCATTTTTAGAAATATTAGTGAAGACGAAGGAATAAAAGAAAAGAAAAAACTATGCAAGAATATTTTCTATCCTCTTTTCCCAGATGTTAATTCCTATCACAGATCTGCTTTGATCTGGGCTGAATGTTACTATTTCCTCCTCCTTGTCAGCCTGGCTTGGCTGTGAGGGAGAAAAATCTTTTTAAGTCTGATAAACTGTTTTTTTTCCCCCCACTCCACCTAAAGACAGAATCAGATAAGCATTTCAAAGTATGTTATTTGTACCAGCAGTGAGGAAAGAAGCAAAGAGAGCGAGCGAGAGAGAGATCAGTCTGTGATATATATTTATGGGTACTGGTGCCAAACAAATCCCCTAAGTTAACTGTGTCTCAACAGTTTTCTCCTAGCAAAATAGTTAATATGTAGATATCTCTCTGTTGTACAGACATCTTTCATTCTAATTCTTTAGTCTGCATTTTTTATGGCACTGCTTCAAAAGCAATCCTATAGCAACCTTGGAAAATTGATCACCCTCTCCTGATTTTATATTCTTTTGTTACTAGCTTCATTTCCTTCGCTATGTACTCTACTCCTTGTGAATAAGTAATGGGTGCCTGAGACAGTGTGAAGATCAGTGACCCTCTAGGCTGAGGTTGAAACTCGAGTGGTTGCACCAAATAGTCTCGAGAAAGGCAAAGGGGGAGAAAACTGGAATGGAAAAGAAAAGCACATCATAATCACACAGCAGTTATACCTGCATATATATATATATATATATATCAGATGCACCCCTCCCCATATGCAATACAGAGTGGAGCAAAGTACTGCAGTTATCAGACTTTGCTACTGCCCTCTGCTAGGGAGGGCAGCTTTAAACTCCACTAGGAGTGCCATAAAGCCCTTCTTATGGATGCTCTCCAGCTTTGTGAGCTATCCACCCAGCTCCAGACCCCCAACAGTTTGCACTGTTGCATTCCGTCTCCACGTAGACTTTCTGAAGGGGCCCCACAGCCTGGGCTGAGTTGGCAGAAACCAGGGAGCGAATTCAGTCTCAGGACTCTGACAGACTAGGGTGACCAGATGTCCCGATTCTATAGGGACAGTCCTGATATTTAGGGCTTTGTCTTATGTAGGTGCCTATTACCCCCTACCCCAGTCCCGATTTTTCACACTGGTCACCCTATTACAGACTATATCATTTTCTACAATAAAAACTGTGTTGGGGCATTCTGTTTGGTTGGTTCCCCTTACATGATTAAAATGTAGTTCTGTCTTATAATGTAGAAGAGACACAACCTTCTGTTACTCCTTTGTCCCCAAACCAGGCTATGGCCTTGGCCAAAGCAGGACTATAGCATGGTACTGTAAGACAGTGACAGTCCCATTCACACTAGAAAGCAGGAATTGCTTTTTAACAGTATTAGCAGATAACTGTATTGTAAGTGGGTCCCCCAAGAGGATTATTTATTGTAGTGTAGTTGAGCCCTTGTTGTTATATGTGGCATCCAATTAGAGGTTAACTCCTTTGCAGTCCATGGTGCAAAATTTGCGTTGTGATCACTATTGATAATTATTAAAATTCTCCTGTTCCCCACACCATCTAATTGCAACATACACTGGAATATTATTTGAAATCAAAACCAAAGAGTTAAACAAATAATACTTTCTTGCTTTCATCTACAGGTAATGCAGGTGGTGAAAGAGCAAATAATGAGAGCTCTCACTACCAAGCCTAGCTCTCTGGACCAATTCAAAAGTAAACTTCAGAATCTAAGTTACACAGAAATTTTGAAAATCCGTCAATCCGAGAGGATGAACCAGGAAGATTTCCAGTCTCGTCCAATTCTGTAAGTACTTTCCCCTCTCTAAGTCGCTTCTTGCATGCAAGGACTAACAAATGTGAATAACATTTGTGAACTGTTCAGGGAGAACCCAGGGGAAAAATTGCCCAGGGAGCACTGCTCAAAAGCAGTGGAATAGCATCTGATTGAAGTGCATATGCTTTCTTCTGCTGGGAATCTCAACTGTTTCTTTGAGTTCAGTTATAACAGATTTGGCCAATCCCTATAGGGCCTAGCATGACTTATTTGCAGCAAATAATGCTTTGCCATTTCCATGCTTTGTGTGGTTGTGTGCACATTAATTTTTTTAAGGTGAAATTTTGTCTTCTGTCCAATGCCCCATAAAGATTCAAAATATCACTTCTCTGAGCCAGGCAAATAGCCCAGAGCACTAGCACCAGTATAAATTGGCTCCATAAAAAAGTGTTTGCGTGATAGTGTCATCTTTTCCTTGCTTGTTTTATCTTTGATGTTAGTAAGGTACAGTTACTTATTTCTAGGTGATTTCTTGTTAACATATATGCAGTGTAATACTCATTCCATATGGTCTAATGCTATGTATCAGTTGTAGTATCTCTATTATAGCTTGTGTCTGCTTCTCAAAATGTCTGCATCTCCATTATATGTGAAAATGCTAAAGATGAGCCATGGAAGTGACTTTGGATCTGCACTGGAGTAGGGCTTGAAGCCAAACTATTGACATAGGGCAGGTTCATCTTCAGTGGTGCTCAAATCTCATGTCTTTTGACCCAGACTAACAGAAACCTTTTGAGATGATCAGCTGAGAAACTGTGAGAGTTCCATCATTTTAAACCAAAATTTCATGAAACGTTGGCCACATTTGAAGTTGAATGGGATGAAACTGTAAAGATGGATTTGTATTTAGGTAATTCAGTTCCATCACTCTGGAGTTCAAAAGGATTCATATATGAGACTCTGGTTTTGGTTTATCCGCAAAAATACATTTATGTGCAAACTCTATGGGCCTTTCTCGGACAGGACAATGGTGAAAGCATAAACTAAGGAGAGTTACAAACTTTAATAATACTAACTGGAATCAAAGGGACAATGATTCTTTTATGTCTTCAGATTATTAGAATGTTAGGACCTAGAACCCAGTTAGAATTGATATCACCTGTAGTCTTGCATCAGTTCAAAACTGGAGTACAAATGCTTTGCATCCCTACACTTCAAAGCAGTTCTTTGCCAATCTTTTGTAACACCCAGAGATTCAAAGCAGCTTAGTGGTGCTACACCTGTCCCCAAAGCTTCTTGTTTTCCTCACTTTCCCAGTGAGTCAACTATTTATCAGTGATACAGGTCAACTATTTATATTCACTTTGAGCCTGGCCTACCATGGTGAAATTTGCTAGTGCAGCACAAGCTCTCTGATTCCAAATATCAGTGTTGCCAGCCATTGTCACAGTGTAAAGTCTGCATCCACAAAATGTAATGAATGCATTTCATGATACAATTAAAAGCAGTGTAAATGTTAAAGAAACTCATTTCAGATCTAAGACAAATGCTAAGCTTAAGAAATAAATAACTAAGCTGTTTAAACAATCATGACTGTATTCATGGTGATTTAAATTCTATGAATTTCCATTTTGATTGCATCTCTGATCACTTATTCTTGATTGTGAAGGGAAAGTGCTCTTTTAGTTTCCCCTGTGATTTGGCTCCATGTACGGAACTCTCACAAATTGTGTAGATGCCACTAATAACATAAGTATAAAATCATGACTCCATTGTGTGTAAAAGAGAGAACAAGCCAGAGAAGGTAGTTTTGGTTCTCCACAGAGACCTAAAGAATTGCAGATACTTAGAAAGAAATTGTTCACAACTGAATATAAAGTCAGTAGCCTTATTTAGAGCTGTAGTAGGATGTGGCTAATGGATTGTAACTATTCACAGCCCCAGCATGAAGGAGCCTTTTTGCTGATGTTCCCACATATAAAATACAGAAGTTATAGCTCTTCAAACTTTTGGTCTACAATGCTCCAAATCAACTTTTGTTTGAGTTTGAAGTGGGAATGGTGGCATTATTATTATTTATTATTATTATTTATTTTAGTTATTAATTTAGACTCACATAATTGCATTAGCTCAGTTTTGCAAGGAGGAATTTGTTTCCCTAAGGTCACAGTGTTATTGGGACATCAGAGCTCAAGTCTTATCGACTTCCAGTTCTGGCAAAACAGCAAATCCATGGGAAAACAGGGTGTGTTTGAATGTGATCATTTTTGAATGGCTATGGAAGGGTGCACCCACAGTTAAAAAGCCAAATGGAGAAATAGAATAGTTCCGAGTAAGAGTCAGGGCACATCAAGGCTCTGCACTGAGCCCCTCTTTGTTCATGTTGGTGCTTGATGCACTTACAAAAGACATCCAGAGAGTGGCCCCCCCAGTGCATGTTTTTTGCAGATGATGTAGTACACCACTACCTTGATATAACGCGACCCGATATAACACGAATTCGGATATAACGTGGTAAAGCAGTGCTCCGGGGGGGCAGGGCTGCACACTCTGGTGGATCAAAGCAAGTTCAATATAACGCTGTTTCACCTATAACGCAGTAAGATTTTTTGGCTCCCGAGGACAGCGTTATATCGAGGTAGAGGTGTACTTGTGGAGGAGAGCAAAGAGGAAGTGAAGAAGATATAGAAAAATAGAGGTGTGTATTTGAAAGAAATGGCATGAAAATCAGCAGAAATAAAACAGGTTATGTGGTCAGTAGATTCATTGATACCTTGCAGTAAAACAATGGAATTCTAAGTCTGGGAGCCCACCCATTACCAAAAGGTACGGACGTTCGAGAACCTAGGTTCAATAGTAAAGGATAATGATGAAATCAAGAAGGAATTTATAAGCAGAACAGGAAAGGCATGGACTAAATGGAAGGAAGTGAGTAACATGATCTGTGATAGTAGAGTGCCTATCAAATTGAAAAATAAGATCTACAAAATCCATTTTTGTATGACTCTATATGCTGGGCACTGAGGAGGAGACAGGAGCAGATCTTGAATACAGTGGAAAAGTTAAAATGGATGCTTGGAGTTACCAGGCTGGATTATGTTTGAAATGAACGAATTAAGGGAAGTGTGATGGTGGAATTAATTAAAGAAAAGCTAAGAGAAATTCAGGCTTAGATGGTTTGGGCATGTGAAAAGAAGTTCGGAAGAATATATAGGAAACAGGGTGTTAAATTTAGAAGCAGAGGGTATGAGAAGGGTTGGGAAGATCCAAAATTAGATGGATGAATTTCATTCAAAAGTATTTGATTAGCTGCTGAGTTTCTGAGGAACTGCTTCAAGACAGATTGGAATGGAGAAGGAGGACTAAAAGTGCTGACCCCATATAGATAGGATTAAGGCTAGCAGAAGAAGAAAAGAAGATAGAAGGGTGTACCCCAAGGGTGGGCAAACATTTTGGCCTGAGGGCAACATCTGGGTATGGAAATTGTATGGGGGGCCATAAATACTCACAAAATTGGGGGTTGGGTTGCCAGAGGGGGTGAGGGCTCTGGCTCAGGGTGTGGGCTGTGGGGTGGGGATGAGGAGTTGGGAGTGCAGAAGGGTGCTCCAGGCTTGGACCAAGGGGTTCAGAGGGCAGGTGGGGGATCAGGGCTGGGGCAGGGGGTTGGGGCATGGGGGGGGGTCAGGGGTGCAGGCTCTGGGTAGCGCTTACCTCAAGCAGCTCCTGGAAGCAGCGGCATGTCCCCCCTCCATCTCCTACATGGGGGCGCAGCCAGGCAGCTCTGCGCACTGTCCCATTCGCAGGCACCACCCCGAAGTTCCCATTGGCCGTGGTTCCCGGCCAATGGGAGCTGCGGGGGCGGTGCTTGGGGCAGGGGCAGCGTGCGGAGCCCCCTGGCTGCCCCTACGCGTTGGAGCCAGAGGGAGGACATGCCGCTGCTTCCGAGAGCCACTGCATGTGCAGAGCAGGGAAAGCCCTCAACCCCGCTCCCTGGCTGGAGCTCGAGGCCAGATTAAAATGTCTGAAGGGCCGGATGCAGCCCACGGGCCGTAGTTTGCCCAGCGCCGGTGTGCCCAGTTCTACTGATCATGTTGCTATGCAAAGCACTAGGTCATTTCTTTGGCAAACTAAATAGCAGTAAAGCTGAGTGAATAAAAAAGTAAAATTATGATGTTTAAGAGGAGGCTGGAATGGCTTAGGGAGAGTTTGTTAAATGAAGCAGTTGTAAGGGACGGATTGTTTGTAAGTCAGCAACACAGAGGGGAACATTTGGAGGGATTTGGGTTTTTATACCTTTCTTTTATCTTTAACAATTTTCTGCTAGGCTGGAAAGTGTCAATAATAACTGTTCAGGAAGCATTAATGAATAGGAGAGAATACAATATAATAGATGAAAGGTGCTTTGGGATTACTTTTCTATTGTGATATAATGATTTAAATGACTATAAAATACCCAATTCTAGAAAAAGTGACTGTTGCTGATTGGAAGGAATCTGAGCTGGGAGTTGGAAAGGTACAGGGTTAGAAACAGATGAAAGTGGTACTAAAAAACCCTCTGTTGTTTTTAAAAAAAAATAAAATAATTTCTAAAGATCTTGTGAGCTATGAGTAGCTAAGATGTGTGTTTTACAAGCAAGTAGCTGATGGTGTGCTGAGACCAATGGGGAGAATCATAAAGTTAGTGATACCTTATTATTTGGCTCTCTCAAGTGTTTTATCCTTTCCAGCCCCCTAACCCTTGTGATTATTAAATCACTGGAATGTAGTAGAAACTAAAACGCAATCAGCTGTTTTATCCCTTCCTCATATTTTCCTTGCTATCTCGCCCTTTCCCCAGGCACAGACTGGATTTTATGGTACTCTGAAATCATAAGATAAAAACGTTCCCAAAATATATTTAAAATTGTGTTCCTCTTACTGCTCTCCAGATTTGATTTTCAAATTAGGCAGAGTGAGATATTTCTGCCAGTAAGTGGAGTGGCTCTTCTGATTTTGGGCCCAACCCTACAATGGTTGAACTCCCTCAACTCCCACTGACTTCAGTGATTGAGGAAACGTAAATGCTTCAGAGGATAATGTCCTTTATTTAGGTCCGTGGGTAGTAATTAGCAGGATTGCTTAGTGTATCCCACCCCATTTTATATAATCTGAAAGTAGTAAGAGTGAAAGCCTTCCTGACAGTGAGATGAATTAGGTTTTGGAATAGTCTTGCAAAGGAAGTACTTGGTGCCATGTTGCTTAAGAAAATTAAATCGGGGTTAGACAAAGCACTGGAAAAAGTATGGTAGAGAACAATTTTACACTGGCCACCATGCTGAGGACACTAGGGTGAAGGCTGACCAGGCAGGAGGGGAGATGGTCTCGTGCTAAAGGCACAGGATCTAGGCTCAAGTCACTAGAGGATGATTTTCAAAGGCTCATTGAAAATCAGTGAGAATTGGGCACCTGGCTCTTCTTTGTGCATTTGAAAAGCTCCCCAGTAATCTCCACATGCCAAATTTCCCCATCTGTAAAAACTAGGATAATAAATACCCTGTAATGCTGAGAAGTATTATCTCTGTGGGGCATTCGGATACTGCGGAGTTGCAGGCCATACCAGTAGAGAGAGAGAGAAGGCCCCCTCCTCCCTCTGTCTTATGGCAAGAAAGCCTTTAGATACTGAGCCACTTTTGAGGGTTTTTGTTTATTTTTGGATTGGCTAGCATTCAAATTCATTCTCTGCCTCTGGTTTATGTTGGGCAACAACAAGGGGGGGGGGGGGAGGGGAAGAGGAGGAAACATGGGAGTTAACAAAAGGCAAAACTGCAATCTCAGAGGGGAGGGGAGTGGGATTTACCTCACATCACTTCTATCACCTTGTTAATTTGTAAGTCCACATTTCCCCTGTGCCTTGCCTGCATGCTGTCTGTTTAGGCTGTGAGCTCTTCAGAGCAGAGACAATGTGCTCTCTGTATTCTGCGAGCCACCTGGTAAACCTGTCTGGCAGTGGATAAATAAGAATTATTTAATTTTTCTCAGGTATTATTATTTAGAGGACCCCCGATTTGTGTCAAGCACTATACAGTCCTTGGCCCGAGGAAGGAACACTAAGCCTGACCAGTTGGACTAGGATGTACTAGATGACCTTTTTAGGTTTTTCATGTCTAATTTCTATAGTGTTATGATTCTGTGCACTTTAGTGATAATTATCCAATTTCTGGATTGAACTGCATAAATATCAAACTGTTCTTTATACTGTGCTCGAACACTTGAGGCCATTTCAGTGAGATGTACACTGTATTAAAGAACTGCTAAACCAATCCAGATTGTGTCTCATTGCTGTTGTATTTGGGGGCCTTTTCTCCATCTCTTTCCTAAAGAGCGTGGGGAAGTTAGCCAGCTTGGAAAACCAAGAAACCTATTCAAGCACTAAAGTCTTTTGACAGTATATAAATACCATGCAGAATATTCATACCATGGCTCTCAGTGGGAAAACTATGGTATTTGAAAATAATCATAAGAGTACTAATAAAATACTTTCTAAAGGTAGTTTGTTTCTATAGTTCTAGTCACTTGATATTTGAATGGATAAATTTTTCACAGCTTGTAAATATACAGCAGATTGTGCATCAAGAACTCCTGTTCCAATATATATAAGCATTTAACTAGTACCTGGGAGGATTATGGCATATCTGATTAAGGGCGCAATCTTTAAACACAGAACTTGCTATGATTCAGTGGGGTTTCTGCATGCAGAGGGCATGTGAGATGAAGTGATACATGAACATGGCAATCAACATAGATGGAAAGTCTGATGTTTTCCAGAGGGGAGGAATTTTGATTTACCTCTACAATTGCACTCCTTTCCTGAGTCTCGACTGTGATTACTGCTATACACAATGATGTCTGGTATTACTTTATTCACACAGCAACCCAAAATTATGGTCTTGACACACTTCATATTTTATGACCCCTCTACACATTCAGTTACATCTTAGTCTTACTAGACTTGCTGTCAAGTTGATGTTTAAACCTCTCCTTTATGTATTCTTAATGAATCTAAGTAAGGAGATAGCCAATGAATTCAGTCACCTGTGCATCCTCATGACAGTGTCTGAAATCAACATTTAACGCTAGATACACATTAGTATCAAAACCTGCAGAACTTTTCAACAAACTCCATATGGTAGTAAATTCACAGAGTGATATAGAAATAAAAACAATCAAGTATAATCAGTTATTATTTTGTCTGAGCTGGAATTGGGACTGCTCACTATTTTCTCTTGGTGTTTCAGATTGTATAACTTGCATGATCTTTTCTCTCTTATACTAAATAATAACAATAACAGGTTCACTTTCATAGAACATTGCATCTGATTATGTTAATTAATCAAGTAAGCATCACAATAATCCTGTGAGGTGCATCACATGCCTTTGTGATGTATGATACTAAGTATTATTTTATAGATGGCTTCCCTGAGGCACAAGTAGGTTAAATGACCTGCCTAAGGTCACATACTGACTTACTGACAGTGATGTGAATAGGACCTCCCATTCCTGCCACTAGACAACTTCCCTCCTTGAAGCAGATGGGGTGCTGAAGTAAGACTACTATCCCCAAAATGAAGCTGAGTCTCTCGTGACACTGCCTATCTCAGTGAGAAAAAATGGTACGTGAATAAATCTAAAAAGTGCCTGGTTTTGTTTTGTTTGTTCCAGGGAGCTAAAAGAGAAGATTCAGCCTGAAATCTTAGAGCTGATCAAACAGCAACGTCTTAACCGACTTGTCGAAGGCACCTGCTTTAGGAAACTCAATAGTCGACGGCGACAAGGTACTGCTCAGGCCTGGATAGTCTGGCATTTCACTGTTCTTTCTCTATTCTAGTTTAGCTCAGGAGCATAACTTATTGGCAGTATTAGTGTTTAGATCCAACTATGAAGACTTTTCTTAGAAGGAATTACCCAAGGAATCTTTTAGTTAATTTTGTTCTTGAGTGTCCTATGCTTCAGTGGGAATTTTTGAATTTTCCTCATATGAACTCTGAACTTTGGAATAGGTCCAGTCATTTTAGGCCCAGCATTTGACAAAAATCTGAAGCAATGGTTTTGCAGCAAGAGTTAAATACCTTGCACGCTCTCTTGATCTTCTGACATCTTGCTGATGACAAAGTCAAAAGATCTACCTGCCTCTGGAAATTAAGGTTGTAAATTAATAACACCCAGCTACTGTGGTATTCAGAACCTGAACATTCTTTTTTAAAAGACTGCTTTTAAATTGTGCTACTAATTATTTATATACCTCATCAAAGGCCCATCACTTTTACTTATGGTGTGCACAACTCACCACCCCTCTCTACTTACTTCCTGTCCTTAATTTTCTTCTTTTATGATCATTTACATTAAACATAATGTGATGCTTAAATATTTCAAAAGCTAGCAGATTTTAAAAAGTACTCAAATCCATAACCTGTGCCCCTTGGGATGAATAAATTATAGGCATAGAAGAGCTATGTTCTCAGCCACATGCACCATTGCTCTGTTTTGGATTGTACAGCTCACTTTACCAAACCACACTCACTGTTTCCCCTAACAGTAGCCCCCTTCTTCCCCAGGAGCAGAAGTTCAGGAAAGAAACTGTGGATTCAACATGCTACCCAAAGTTGGTTCCAAAATTTGCCTCCATACACCCGGCCACTCCCACCTGCATTTGAATGAGATTCACATTTCTATATCTTTATTTTTACTGTAAATGCAACATGAATTAGAAAACTATAAAAGCTAGGAGTAAATCTAGAGAGATAAATATTTGAGAACTAGAGATTGATGTGAAAGTTAGCTTTCTGTGCATAAAATATAGTCCCGGCAATATTCTCATCCTAGAAGATAAGCAGTGCACTGTCCTGAACCAAAGCTGATGGATGGTTTTGGAAAATTGCAAATTGGAAAATTTTCCAGGATGAAAATGAAGATGAAGAAAAGATGGCCAAGTCATTCAGCTTTAAATCTTTATAATCGTAATGTTTAATAATATGTAATGAACCCATTGCACAGGATTTTCAGAAAAGAACCCCATCAGTGTGCCATTATAAATGTTTATAGAGATCCGTAGGGACATGTGACATGTACATTCTCAGCAGCAACAGCAGCATCTTCTGCACAGTTGCTGAGTGGTCAAGGAGACTTGCTTTGGTTTGGCAATTATCACCTGGCTTTGGTTTTACTAAATCAAACCATAATCCTGGGATTGTTTGGATCTGGGATCCATTTTATCTGAACCACCAAAGTTTTGGAGAGGGAGAGAGGAAAGAGGGTTGGGTAAGATGTTGTTTGGGCAAATCTCTAAAGGAAAGATGAAATATTTTTGGTTCTTTAAGTAATGGATTGTTTTAAACTAGTGTCAGTTCAAAAAAACATGAGCCAGATTCTTAGCTGGTGTATATTGGTGTAGCTCCATTCACTTCAACAGAATTATACTGATTTACACAAATTTAAAATCCAGCCCCTGGTCAAAAAGTTCCTTGCACCATGCCTTGCAAAGAACTATATTGGACAATCAAATTAATTGCTTTAGTATCATATTTATGCTTTAGTATCCTATTCATAGGTGTGCATGCTGCTTTGTAGGCAAATAAAAGACATGGTCCCTCCCGGTGACTGGGTGTACCAGGCCTTTGTGGCCCTCTACTGGAGGCCCCACCACTCTGCTGCACCCCACCCTAGGAAATAGTTCTCTGTGAAGAACAGAGCAGCCTTTGGGAAACCAGCAAGATTTGGCCTCTGGTAGTCAGAACCGCTAGGGACCAGCAACAGCCAATCAAGGTTCAGCAGGCTGAAATAAAAGGTAGCTGCCTGCTGTCCACAAGTCAGTTCCTAGCTGGAGCCAGAGGAGCAAGGAGAGATGCTCCATAGGCTGCAGCCAGAGGAACCAGGCTGGGTCAGGGACTATTACTGGCCACAGTCAGTGGCTGGGATTAAGAAGGAACTCTGCTGATTCAACCCCTGGCAGGGAATCTAACCCAGAAAGAGTAAGAAACTAGTTGTTTATTATTGGCCCTGATGGGCAAGGACCTGTTTCTAATTTTTGAGTTTGTCATACCCCGGAAGGGCCCAGCCAGAGGGCCAAGTGACATAAGGCCCACAAAGGCCAGCTGACAGCCTGCAGGGGGACACTAGTAGCCAAAGAGAATGGCAGCACCATGACCAGACGGCAGTGGAGTGCTCAAGGGGTGAATGAAACCCACCACGCTCCCCCAAAGAGCTGACTTATCTATGGGCTATAACTGTGCCCTTAGGATACTTCTGCACTTTGAAGGGGGTGCCTCCACTGCGCTCCATCAGGAACTCTAGCATACATTTTTATTGATTCAGGGACAGCTTCTGCGCCACCTTTTGCAAAGGTGCTTGCATATGCTCCTCCTCCCACACGGGGGGCCTGCTGGTATCAAGGAAGCTAATGATGCTGTTGATGCGAAACTTACAGAGACCTTGTGCCCAGTAAAAAGTAAGGACCATGATGGGCTTACTTAGACTGTAAGCAATTTGAGACAGGGAGTGTCTTTTATTTTTATAGTGATAATCAAGATGGCCCATTTTGGACAGTTGACAAGAAGGTGTGAGGATACTTAACATGGGGAAATAGATTCAATGTGTGTAATGACCCAGCCACTCCCAGTCTCTATTCAAGCTGAAGTTAATGGTATCTAGTTTGCAAATTAATTCCAGTTCAGCAGTTTCTCGTTGGAGTCTGTTTTTGAACATTATGAATCCTGATGTCAGATTTGTGTCCATTTATTCTTTTGCATAGAGACTGTCCGGTTTGGCCAATGTACATGTCAGAGGGGCATTGCTGTTACGTATGCCTGTGGTGCCTAGTACAATGAGGCCTTGGTTCCTTGAATGGGGCTTTTAGGTGCTACTGCAAAACAAATAGCTACTAATAATGAGTGCAAAGTGAGGAGGCCTCCATGAGTCTTCTTCTCACCTCTCTTGTGTGCACACAAGCTGAGCCAATCTCCACAAATCTGAAAGTTTAGACTTAACAAGATAACTAACTGGAAAAAGAACAAAAACCCAGCAACAATGGGGGGCGGTAAGGAAAAAGGACAATGGTTACAACAGTAAGGTCATGTAATTGCTCTGATTTATTATGCATGCATCTCGATGCATCCTTTTTATGATTTATTTTAATATAACCCCTGGGGCAAATGTTCCAAGTCTGCAGAATGTGCAAAGAGGTATCTTAACAAGGCCACCCATCAGAAACTAAAACCATTTAATTGCCTATTTAAAAAATAATTAACTGGCATTATTCTGTGATAAAGACTCCAGAGCAAACTTCTATTAAGACTGTTGTCTGAACAGGTGATAGGATACACATGGTTAGTCACAGTGGGTTGAAAGAATTGACTTAAGAAATAATGAGTAGAGAGCTTGCAAACTTTGTCACTCTCAGAAGGGTCAATCTTTTTCAAATTTGGATTTAGCTGGAAATCCTCCAAGCCAATGACTGCCTCAGTGGGGTGGTCTTGAAATGGAATATGGAGTATCTACAGTCATATCACTGCCTTTTGTACTTGAAAATGGGGTTATCATAACAGCATGAGCTCTCTCACTATATCAAGAAGTCTTTGATTGTTGCCCTAGCAGGGCCTCTGAAGGGCTTGTTGATAGAGAGAGAGAGAGAGAGAGAGAGAGAGTGCTTGCTTCCCTATATATTACCCCTAAAATAGGGTTACCATTCGTCCGGATTCCCCCGGACATGTCCGGATTTTCGAGCTAAAAATAGCGTCCGGGGGGAATTTATAAATGTCCGGGCTTCTCCCCCCCCACGCGGCTAACAGGGCAGCCGGACGGATGGTGCCACTTACATGAGGCTCCGACAGCCAGAGAGCCCCTCCTCTTCTCCCCTGCAGCAGCGATCCCTCCCTGCATTCGCAGATCGCCTCCGGCAGTCTGGAGCTCCTCCCCGGCTCCTTCTCCCCTGCCAGCCAGCCTGCCGGGACGAACGGAGCCGTTCCTGAGCAAGCTCACATAGACATTAGGCGAAGGCCAACAACAAGGGGGCCAGAGGGTCGGAGAAGGGGCAGGGAGGTTCTGGAGGGGGCAGTCAAGAGACGGGGGGGGGGCGGGAGTTCGAGGGGGGGCTTTCTGGGGGAGGGTGTGGATAAGGTTTTGGGCAGTCAGGGTACAGGTGGGGGTAGGGTCCTGGGGGGCAGTTAGGGGTGGTCTTAGGAGGGGGCAGTTAGGGGATAAGGAACAGGGAGGCTTAGGTAGTGGGTGGGGTTCTGGAGGG